TGAATATTTACTAATTAATTTGTTTTCTTCGCATTAATGTAGTATGTGAGTATAAAAATATTTATTAATAAAAGTATTTAAAATAAGTCATGAATATTTACTATTTTATTCACGTTAATTTAGGGGGTAAGTATAAAGAACATTTATTGATCAAAGAATTTAAAATAAGCTGTTCAAGTCCATGGATATTTACTATTAATTTTATTTTATTCGCATTAATTTAGTTTGTGAGTATAAAGAACATTTATTAATCAAATTACAGTCAAACTTCGTTATAGTCACTCTTGATGTAGTCACAATCTTGATATATTCACCCTATTTTTAACTCGAGTTATTATAAAACATAAAATTTGACTTTTATATAGTCAACTTTTTATAATCACCAGATTCTTGTTTCCCAAGCTGGTAATTATATCGAGGTTTGACTGTATTTAAAATAAGCTATTCAAGTTCATGAATATTTACTATTTAATTTTATTTTATTCGCGTTAATTTAGTCTGTGAGTATAAGAAAATTTATTAATCTAAGTATTTAAAATAAGCTGTTCAGGTTCATGAATATTTACTATTTTATTTTATTTTATTCGCGTTAATTTAGTGCGTGAGTATAAAGAACATTTATTAATCAAAGTATTTAAAATAGGCTATTCAAATTCATGATATTTACTGTTTATTTTTTATTCGCGTTAATTTAGGGGGTTAGTATGAAAAACATTTATTAATCAAAGTATTTAAAGTAAGCTGTTCAAGTTAATGAATATTTACTATTTAATTTTATTTTATTCGCGTTAATTTAGTTTGTGAGTATAAAGAACATTTGTTAATCAAGAATTTAAAATAAGCTATTCAATTCATGAATGTTTACTATTTAATTTTATTTTATTCGCGTTAATTTAGTTTGTAAGTATAAAGAACATTTGTTAATTAAAATAAGCTATTCAAGTTCATGAATATTTATTATTTAATTTTATTTTTCGCGTTAATTTAGTGTGTGAGTATAAAGAACATTTATTAATCTAAGTATTAAAACAATGGAACTATTCAAGTTCATGAATATTTACCGTTTAATTTTATTTATTCGCATTAATTTAGTTTGTGAGTATAAAGAACATTTATCAATCTAAGTATTTAAAAATAAGCTATTCAAATTCATGAATATTACTATTTAATTTTATTATTTACGTTAATTTAGCGGGTGAGTAAAAGAACATTCATTAATCTAAGTATATAAAATAAGCTATCTAAGTTCGAGAATATTTACTATTAATTTTATTCGCGTTAATTTAGTCTGTGAGTATAAAGAACATTTATTAATCTAATTATTTAAAATAAGCTATTCAAGTTCATGAATATTTACTATTTAATTTTATTTATTCGCATTAATTTAGTCTGTGAGTATAAAAACTATTCAAGTTCATGGACATTTACTATTAATTTATTTTATATTTATTAATTAGTCGGTGAGTATAAATTATTTGCATTTAAATTTAAGAGTGCATAATAGCTAATATAATACAATCTATAATCACAAAGAGATCCAAAGTATGGAATATGTACACATTGTAATGAATGTAACACGAGTCAAGCATGGTGTCAGACATGTGATCCTGACATAACAATTCGAGAGTGGACGAGTAAAAATAAGGATATCGACAATTGCATCAAAAGGTTTCAACTTAGAACCAATAATTATGAACGTATAATTGAATGGATTCCATTTGATAGACTAAATAATATTGAAAAAATTGGCGAAGGTGGATTTGGCTCGGTATTTTCCGCGACCTGGTTAGATGGTGTGCGAAAGATACAAGAGGTTAAAAATGTTGATGAAAGTGGTGAATATATTGTTAGATATGTAAGATCGCGTGAACCATCTAGCACTGTTGCACTCAAGTCCTTATCTGGTTTCAAGGAAAATCCTCGTGATTTTTTGAAAGAGGTATGTTAGTTAAATTATTGTACGGTTTATTAAATACATATTGAACTAATTCGTTTAAATTTACAAAGTTTGACAATCATATGAAATGCAGGTTACACGGTATTAAGCTTAATGTATATGGATTAACTCAAAACACAGAAACGAATGAATACTTGATGGTATTTCAATATGCCGATAATGGAAGTCTTCATAAATTTTTAAGAATGAAATTTCGAGATCTTACCTGGAAAATTAAATTAAACCTACTTAAAGATACTTCATGGGATCTAGATGAGATTCATAAAGCACGATATATTCATGCAGACATTCACAGTGGTAATATTTTGCAAAATGAAGAAGGTAAAGGCGTTAGTAAAATTATGAGATCTTACATCTCAGATCTAGGATTGTCTAAAAAGACAGATGAAAATTGTTCAGAAGGTAGTATTTATGGAGTCTTGTCTTATGTCGCTCCAGAAGTTTTATTGGGACAGAAGTTTACACCAGCAGCTGATATTTATGGTTTCGGAGTCATTATGTCAGAGATGTCAACTGGACAAAGACCTTTTGATGGTCGTCCATTTGATCTTAGTCTTTCATTAGATATATGCAAAGGATTGCGACCTGAATTTGCACCTGGGACTCCTGAATGTTATATTGAATTAGCTAAACAATGCATGGATTCAGATCCACAAAAACGGCCTACTGCTAATGATATTTATTGGATACTTGATAAGTGGAATGATTGCATGAATGATTCAAATGATGCAAATGAAATTAAAAATCAATTCCTAAATGCAGATAAAATAGGCAAAGAATTGCCAATTATTATACCAAAACATCCTGATTTTATGTACACTAGCAAAATAATAAATACTCAAAGAATATCAGGTATTTACTGAGTTTAACAATTATGCTATATTATTTATTCATTTAAAACTAATTATGCTACATTAGCAATCTTCGGTTCTATTGAAGTTCCTTTTAGTAAGTAATATATTAAACTTGCAGTATTGATGATAATTAAACAAATTAACTACTTTAAAGGTATAACTTTGTTGCTTATCATTATTATTTTTAGTAATTTAGTTTTAATATTTCTTCAAATGCTTAAAACGTATGTGATTAAAGATATTTATTTATTTGATTAAATCTTATGCTATCTATATTTCTATCAATTTTCAAAATTTTTAGATGCAAATACTGTATAAATTTAACTATTTTTCCCAAATCGTCTGTATGAGCTTAGTTACAAAAGCTGTTTAGCATCATGATTAAAAATTATCCTATTGGCTGTACCGAACTTGAGCACCCTTTTTTTTGCTATAAGGTGTTTAATTTTGGATACAGTATATTTTTTAGAGCAGATAAATTTTATAAAGTAATTTTATATACATAAACGAGTATAAAATGTATAGAAAATCATCAAAATATTTTCTTGTTGTCACCTCTATAACTATGCTGTACATACAACGGCTAAAATTTTAAACATTTTTAAATAAGAAAGTTTTTGTATATTTAATAGTTTTTATCAAATCTTCAAAATTTTGATATTTTATTGATTTCTTGCATTTTGATTGGCTAAATTAGCAATCTTTTAAAATTAGCCAATAGCAATAGGCCAAAACATGGGGCTTGTCTAGGGTAAGTGGCACGGAGGTCACGGGCACGCCAACATGGCATGCCCAAAATCCGTAGTATGTGTTCCGGAATATTCCGAATAGAAAGAGTAGGATTGAAAAATTAGAGCAAAGTTCCGAAATGTTCCGAAAGGTAACGTGTATAATAACTGTAACAGATTAAAATGAAATCGGATTAAAATGAAATATTATACAATGTAAAAAATAGACAAGCCACCGAAAAATAAAAATTTCTGAGGTGCATTTTTTAGGGCTAGGGGTTAGGGTTAGAGGTTAGTTTTAGGATAAAGTTTATAATAAACAAGTATAGGTGGGTTTTAGAGGGTTAATTAGAAACCCTCATTTCATTTTAATCCGATTTCATTATGATCTGTCACAGTTATTACGCTCAGCAGATCACAATGTCATCAGCAAGTTTTTTTTTTTATAAAATCTCACATAGATCTATAACTTTATATAGATATTATCGTTATATAGAACACTACACTATTTAAAAATTATTTATGTTAATTTTTATATATTATATATTTTAATATAAAACTTATGTAAAATTTATTTAAACTTATACGTATAAATACGTATAATTTTATAAAAAAAGATTATATAAATATAAATAAATAAATAAATATATATATATATATATATATATATTATAAATTTATAAATTTTACATATTATAATTAAGTATACGTATAACTTTTATATAGATAAATTTTATTTATAATTATATTTATGAATAAATTATAACTATGTAAGTCTACATTGGGTTTATAAATATATATATAATTTTTAAATAAAATATACATAAAATATTTACATAACTCTACATAAAAACAGCTTCGTGATGGTCGTGAGAGAATCGGAGATTCCGTAGATTTTAAGAATATTACCGATTTCAAATATAAACATAACTGATCTTAATATGAACTAATAGACAAAATCTCGGAAATTTTCCAAAATAATGGAAATACATCTTAATGCAAAGGGCATAAATGAATTCGAATTTTAATTAATAATAATCGAATTAATAAGGTAGATAAATAATAAAATTGTATTCTTTTTGTTTATTAGGCTGTTAAAAAAATAACTGAGTTGCAAGAATCCATTTTATTTCGCAATACATTTGAAAGTTTACTTACCAAATTTCTTGAAAACAAATATGCTAATTGACATCATGAAACTTTCACGATTATATTTCTGTATTAAAGTTTTACAAGTTTTTTTTATTAAATACAACTATTAGATCGCTATCGGGCCAGAAACGCATTAAAATCAGATAACATCCTGACCATTGGTCAGGAACTCGCCGATCACTTTTACCAAGAAAAATTTTTAAAAATACTAATATCAATACATTAAAATAAAATCTCAAAATGCACATGCAAAAGTAAACTGATTATGTATTGATAAAAAAAGGAATAATAATGTACGAGGTGACCTATTTATGGTGTCAATACTGTTGAACTTTGTTCTTGTCTATGAGGTATAGAGATAGGTGCATGAAATAGTAAGGCCATGTTAACAATAATAATATTCTATAAAACAAATAAGGGCATGAGTACCATATGTGAAGTATGTTGCCAACTCATAACTGATATAAAAAATTGTTAATCTGAATAACGAACCCGTAAAGTCAAAAGGCCCTTTACAAAATTAGTTAAATTATAACCATTCACTGGGTTTACAGGAATCTCGGCCTCGTGTAAATGATATTATCGATGGATATTGTCTATACCTCTAGTAAGAACATTCAGATGCAATTTACGTCCTATAAAAGTTTTGAATCATTAAAATGTTCTCTTTTTCGAAAATAAAGATAAATAAAATTATAATAACTGCGATCTGAATTCCAACGATCCCAAACTATTCTTTCTCTGGTTTGCACCCTTTACGAGTCCAGTACAATCCATCGTTTGTTTCCCTCCATAATTTGATTTGTTATCTAATTCCTTTTTAGGAGTGCAAATATATACGCCAACACTCACCATACACAAATTCGTAAATTTTTCCTTCGCGTAGAACTTCAAACATTATGTCTGGTCGTCTGCCCGTTTTGTCCTCACCTCTTCTGTCCTTACTAGCATTACTCTGACGTTCATACCTAGAAAAAAGATGAAAAAAAAAATGCTTTACGAATATAATCTTCAAACTTTGCAATTTATAAAACCTACGTACTAATAATTGAGGACATTTTACAAGGGAGGTTTTTCAATGTTGCATGTATCAATGGTACCACCGCATTCGACACATAGGTGCCTTTATTTAACGAATAGACAAAATTAGGTCCAAAGGCTGGATTGTTCCAAATATCTTTTATAGTGGTGAGAATTTCCTTTGTAACCTCTAAGAACTTCTGGATATTCTTTCCAAGTACCATTATGTTTTAATAGCCTTAGTATACTTCGGTTTGATTCCTATTAAAGCCCACCACAAATTCTCTACACATCTCCCAAATCATCGGTAAGTTCGGAGATATCATTCGTCGCGCAGGTTTCTTTTTCATGGAACGAGTGAGATGGTTCATTAAATCTGAATCCTGATCAATAGAGGTGCAGGCATTTAGAATTTTGGAGGTAGCTACCCATATCACAACGGTACGGCATATTTGCCATATAAATAGAAGTGCCGCATGCTGTATAAGTGTTGTATACTGTATGAATACCGTATGCCGTCATTCACCTTAATTTAGTGGGCGAGTATAAAGATGATCTATTAATCGGTGGATTAAAAAAGCGATTAATGTTTACAAACACTTGTTTACTACTAACTAATACTCTTCAGATTACCATTCTATTTGGTCATTGATTATTACAATAGATTTTTAATGATATAAAAAATATATATAATATTTGACAATGACTAAAATGATAGCCTAGATACGGTAAAAGTATACATTGTAATAAAGACAACAAGTTTAAAGCATGGCGTTTGGAATGTGATCCTAACAAGCAAAAATGAGAATATTAATGATTGCATCAGAGAGTTTCAGCTTAGAACCCTAGGAATGCAATCGAATGGACTTATTTAATAAATTACCGTATAAGCGTGAATAACGTTCGTGGACGTTATTTTGAAAATCGGATCCTTCAAAAATAATTTGTATGTTCTCAACATTAGCGCTCATGAGCATCCCGAATTAACGCGCATTCTAATGTAACACAATTTATTGTTGCGATAAATGATATTCCATATATGCACTCTATAAGTGCGTTTTCCCTATAATGATAAGTGCACATAATTTGATTGATCTAATGTAATTATTTACCGTATTTTCGCAAAATAACGTGCAGGGGCGTTATTTTGAATTTTGGCCCGAATTAAGCTTAATTCTGGCCAAATTCGAAATTACACCCCTGCGCGTTATTTCGCGAAAATACGGTAATATATGTATAGTATGTCCATAAATGAATATTCCATAAATGCACTTTACCCAAAAACGTGCAGTTATGAAAGGTTGACTGTATTGGATTTAGAAAATCTACTCTTATTTCGAAATAACGCATCTGGGAATATTCGAAATAACGCGTCATTTATACTGTATCTAATGTTAAAGAATTGGCAAAAGAGAATTTGTTTATGTATATTCAGCAACTTTAAGGTTAGATGGTATACGAAAATTGATTATAATTGTGTAAAGCGCGTGAACCATCTATTGATTTTTGTGGAAATTTAATTGACCAACGAAAATTTTCAGGGTAGTAACGCTATACGGCATACTACATCACCCACAGCAACTATCTCACGGCAATATAACCTCGACCTCTACGTCATAGCCGTAATGCAGTAAGTAGTCACTACTCTGAGAAATGTCTGCATCATTACTGATCAATTATCTGGTTGGCGAGTGGATCGCTCAATTCAAGATTGGACGCTGTCACATTCCTTAGACCTAAAGTCAATTCCTGATAGAATGGTGACAATCTCTCTAGATAAAATATTAGTATGAATTTATTTGATTATTATGAAACTAGAAAGGCCAAAATTTTAACAATTACTAATGGTTTTAACCTCATCTTCTGAAGGTTAGCATTAATTTGTTCGAAAGTGAGAGGTTCTTTATTCACTTTTAATCAGCGTTGTTACTAGCCTTAAATTCAATAAAAAATTATTAGCCCCAGCCCTCACGTCCAATTGGACATATGGCTAATTGGACAAGTGGCTAATTAACCTTAGTTGTTTTCTACTAGTGACTCGAATAATTCGAGTTCAAATCATAAATTTTTTAACTCGTGAGTACTCACGAATTAATTATTAATGTATAATTAAGTTTAAAATGACTAATAATTTGCATTAATAAATTTTGCAAGCTGCATAAATAATGTCGTAATTATAACGTGATTAATGTATTTCTTTAAAATTTAAATAAACTACATACGTAATTTATTGCAGTCGCAAATTTTTAATAAAAATAAAGAAATTTAAAAGACTTAAAAACAATTTCATAATATAAACACGAAGCAAAACAAAAGCACTAATAAACGGAATCTTGTAATAAAGAGAATTTCAAACACAACTATATGTCTAACAGTAAATCTCTAAGTTTTGTCTGGGAATATTTTCAAAAAGAGGGTATAGCTTCCACTTGATGGATGATGTGAATCGTATAAGGATAGGCTTCAAAATTAAATTAACCATCTCGCCTATAAGCACAGAATATTTAAAGATAGTTATAGTTGATCTAGTGATATAATTATGAATCAGTTTATTGCATTCATAACTCGTAATTGATATTATTTGTTTTATAACATAAATTGAATTATATTTGTTTTTATAACATACAAAATCGAATTACATTTGCTTCGTGTAACCCGCTATTTGAAGTATATAATTTGTTTTTGTAACTTGCAATTTATTAATAAACTAATTGTCATGACTTGAATTACTCAAATGAATAATTCAATTAGATGATTTGAACACTCTTAATTTAATTTGCGAGTCACGAGTTTATATAAGTCCAGTCATTATTGTCTACATATTTAATTGGACATAAGGGCTAGGGCTAATTGGACATATATTTAAATAAATATCTTCATATTAATATATACAGTATATATATTTACAAAGAAAATAATTTGCATGGTCTATGTAAAAATTATATGATTTTATATAAACCTATGAAAATAAGCTTTTGAAAAAAGTACAAACACATCTACTTTTTATTAATAAAAACTTTAAATTATTATAACTTTTTTTAAAACAGTTAAATCAAAAAACCCTTCAACAAATTGATAGTATTTAGCCAAATTACATTTTGTCAGAAGATTTTCTATTATTTTTTGTTTTAAAGAAGTTATTAAGAGTTAAACTTTATAATGATTTAAAAAATTGGCATTTAATATAAAAAAAAAAAGAAAATATATATTTTAATTAACCAATTAGAATCGATTACATCAAAACTAGCCAATTAGGATTGATTATATAAGTATCAAAAATTAGCACTTTATATATATAAAGTGGATGCTTTATGCTATCTGGTACTATAGTAAAAACATTAAAAAATAAAAAAATTATATAGAAGTATGTTAAGAAAAAGCTATCAAAAAAATTAGAATATAACTATTCTTTATATAATAGAATATTAGATAAATTTTAGAACTATTTACAAAATTGTTAAAAAATTATATAAGATTTTTAAACAATTAAGTAAGATGTTTTTTTGCTAACAATATAATACTAAAATTTATCTATAAAAAATTTGATTAAAATAAAAAAAAAGCTATTTCAAAAAAATTCTTTTTTTTTTTTTTTTTTTAATTTTAAAGGTGAGACCATGCTCTTATCTTTATTAAACTTAATGAAAACTTTTTACATAATTAGAAAAGGTTTTATATTTTAAGTCTATTACTAAGAATAAGAACTCAGACTAACTAAGTGCTTAATAAAGCAAACCCAGTGTTTTATTTGTGACCTAAACCTACCAGAGTGGCCAAGGCTTACCTAGATTTCAGATAGATTAAGTATTTGTGAAGGGTATGTGCAAAATTTAATCCAGTCAGAGTACTACTGTATAATGATACTTTGAGTATAGATATTTGTGTAGTATTGTTAGAAGTAACTATAGAGAGATATGGGTTGTGTGAAGATTCAGATAATGAGATTGCTGGTAAAGATAAGGGTTGAGGTATGGGTCTTGAGCTACAATAGAGAATCCAAATATTTGTATAGAGTTGTTTATTGATGTGAAGGAGAAGTTATATTGTAATTGAATTAGCTATTTGGTTCAATATAGTAAATTCATATATAGTTTGTATAATATAAAAAGGAATAAGTCCAGAAAGTATAGAAAAAATAGAAGGTTTGTTTAAGAAAAGGTGTATTTGGAAGCTGTCGAGGTTGGAGATTAAATTATGTAGCTGTTTAGTTTGTATAGAGAATATTTGAAGTTTATTAAGAGTTAAACAAAATTGTAGTGAATTAATAATAAGTTCATATAGAGGAGTTGGGTAGGGCAAATAGCCTAGTGTAGTAAAGTACTAGTTTGCTAGCATATGTGACAAGTATTTGGGTATTGAGGGTTTCTTTTGTGCAAAGTATGAGGTGTAGGCAGCTCATCAGCAAGAAGTTTAACTCTAAATGTTTTAAGATCAGAAAACTGGAAGCTATGAGCAAAGTTGGTAACTTTTTAATTATTGTTAAAGTAGAGCCAAGTTGTATTTCAGTTGATATGCTAAGAGATTTCTATCTATCTTCAGAAGTGATTCTGAGTTGACCAGAGAGCAAAGATTTTTGCATAACATATTGTATGGATACTACGATAGATAGAGAGTTCAAGAGAATAGCCTGGATTGTTGAAGTAAATAAGAGATTGTATATATTATAATGATTAAGCGTAAGAAAGGGCTTATCAAGATAGTCACGAGCAAGTTGGTCTGCTTTGTTGTTAAGCTCATTGTCAGAGTGTGCAATAACTTTATGAAAAGTAATTTTTAAATTATAAAATTTGATAAAATTAAGTATTGTGTTCTATATTGACCAGTATGAAGTATGTAGAGTAGGGTGTTTAGCATAGTGGCAAGGGCATGCCAATGGTGGTATGCCATAGTAGCATGCTTAAAACAAATTTGGCATGCCACTGGGTATAGTATAAAAAATTATATTTATAATATTAGAATATAGATACATATTATATATACAGTGTTATCCCTTAAATTGTAACACAGGCAAATTTGCCTGTGTTTTTATTAAAAAGTTTAATTTTTTTAATAAAAACTTAT